GTAATCCATGATCGAATTTTTTGTTTTTTTTTTGTTTTTGTAACCCATGATAGAATTTTTTGTAATCCATGATCGAATTTTTTGTAATCCATGATCGAAATGTTTGCTTTTTTTTCTTGTAATCCATGATCGAATTTTTTGTTTTTTGTTTTTTTTTTGTAACCTATGATATAATTTTTTGTAATCCATGATGAAATGTTTGTAATCCATGATCGAAATGTTTGTTTTTTTTTTGTAATCCATGATCGAAATGTTTGTTTTTTTTTTGTAATCCATGATCAAATTTTTTGTTTTTTGTTTTTTTGTAACCCATGATAGAGTTTTTTGTAATCCATGATTGAATTTTTTGTAATCCATGATCGAATTGTTTTTTTCTTTTTTTGTAATCCACGATCAAATTTTTTGTTTTTTTTGTTTGTTTTTTTTGTAATCCATGATCGATTTTTATGTAATCCATGATCGAATTTTATGTAATCCATGATCGAATTTTTTGTAATCCATGATTGAATTTTTTGAAAATTTGTGATTCTTTTTTTAGTAATCCATGATAGAATTTTTTGAAAATTTGTGATTTTTTTTTTTAATCCATGATCAAATTTTTTTTTGTAATCCATGATAGAATTTTTTGAAAATTTGTGATTTTTTTTTTTAATCCATGATCGATTTTTTTGAAATTTTGTTATTTTTTTTTTTTAATCCATATTATTCAAAGAGAAAATGAGAGAGATGATGATTCTGAGGCTATCCTATCCCAGCCATATTATTCACATATCGAGTCCCAACAGCAACAGTGTAGGGATGAATACGACAGTGCAGGTGAGCATGAAGAATGGACAATCTTCGGGGATTTTAGATTGGGAACACAACAAAACACTAACACTCAGGGATTTGGGAATAGTTAGACGCATGCTAATATCGATGATTCGTTTTTAGATCGAATCAATGAATTGTTAAACGAATTCAATCAATGGCACCAGCGTGACCAAGAAGAACAATAATGTTGTCTATCATTTTATTTTTAGATCATATGTTACTAATTTTATGCTTTATTGTAGTCCATGTATATTGATATACTTATTCCATGATAATTCTATGTTTATCCTTTTGTGTGATGTAAATTAAATGCTGGATGGCGGTTCATGCAGGGAAAGAACATATCAATATTCGTATATTCATTCAAAAACATGAAAATTCTTAATGGAGTACCCTCATTTCTTATTGAATTCCTAAAAAATAATATTTATAATGAATTTTAATAATTTTTTCGGATTTTTTTTAAGCTTTATTCTGACCGATTCACCTGATTCTCATCCGGATCGCCGATTCGCCGATCCGGATAGGTTTTTTGGGAGCCCGATCCGAATCACTGATCCGTTTTTTAAACCATTGCTACCATCCATTTCAAAATCAAAAAAAAAAAAGAAAAAAGAAATAAATACAAATGAAAAGCAGGTTAGCATTAAAATAAAAGATCATCATCATCAATTACTTCAGGCTTGAAAATAAAAAGATAAAAACAAAAAACTACAGCAAGTGGACAGAGTTTCAATTTTTGCTTTTTTTTTTTATTGATGAAAAGTTACGAAGCTGTATTCAACAGTGGACAGAGTTTCAATCATGTGCCATCACTGAGTTCGTCATGTTGGAAGACTTCACGTGCGATTTGAGCACCTACTTTCACACTTTTTCTTAAATATTTGGGTTTGGATCGGCATGATTTGTCTCCATTCACGTAAATTCGTCTCCTTCTCATTGTCATGAATAGTGTATTAGAATGTCTACAAAAATGGCGTGATAGTAACAAACGTGTCCATGATGAACTTGTTGAGGCCGGTTGTTTATTGCAAGTGATTTATGTGTGGTCTTTAAAATTTTAAGTAATCTACGAAATGATTAAGTTATATGCGAAAATTATCAAAAAAAATCATTCAATTTTTTTTTTTTGAAATTATCTTTCGGTCTACTCAAATTTTGATTATCATTTTTTTAATTTTTTTTTGTTAGTAGGGCAATGCCTTAAAGTTTGGGGCATTGCTCTACTAACGAAAAAAACTTTAAAAAAAAAAAGAAAAAAAAAGAAAGACATCAAATTTCGGGTTGACCAAAGGGCAATTCTGAAAAAATAAAAATAGTGGGTTGACCAACCTTCTTTGTAATTTTCACATATAAATAGATTTTATATTTTACCTCAACTTTTAATGTCCGTATGTAAATTACTCTTTATTGTACGAAAGCGGCTTATTGGGATTTCATAAAAAGATAAAGTTTAAGGTTGGAGCTTATTCAACTGTAATAGTAATGTGCAGCTCAATAACATGGTAAAAAAGAGGGGAAAGGTTTCTACGCTTCTCCTACAACGTAGAAGTTCTATCCTCCCCTTACCATCCAGCCGTTCAATTTTGATCAAGAGAGCCGCTCACCGTTTGATTTTAGATCTAACGTCTCAAAATATTTTATTTTTAGTTTTTTTATACAAATTATATGAATATGAAATTTGGTACATGCCATCTTTTTATTGGGGTGTACCTATAAAAAATATTAAAACTAATTGTTTGATAAAATATAATGACCAAAGTACCCCTTTAATCTTTCAGCGGTATTTAGGTCATTTTATTTTATTGAAAATATTTTTTTTATTTTTTACTAGTCCGATTTTAATAGAGGAATGGACGTCCAAAATTTGGTGTCAAAATAGTTTATAGAAAAAAAATAAAAATAAAATAATGTAAAGATGTGATATTGTGATTGGGGCAATCTAAGCCCTCCATTCAGAATGAACGGTTGGATAAAAGGGAACATTGAACTTCTATGTTGTAGTGGAAGCATAGAAAGCTCGCCCAAAAAGAATGCTCTAAAGATAAGAATTCTTTTTTTCGACCTCAAGACATACAAATATAAAAAAGAAAAACAAGTCCAAGTCTTAAAAAAAGTGCACCTTTGTAAGAAGTTATCTAGATTGTCCTTTTTTATGATTTTAAGTATTTATACATGTACTCTATCTACACTTATTTTGACAATCTTAACTTTTATAATTAGAGTTTAACATAAATTTTTAAGCCATCAAAAGATTTGTAACACTAGAACTAATACTAGAACTACATCCTCTAGGTAAAACATAGAATTGCTTCTAGAGCATTTGGTGAGTACCTTATACAAATCTCCCCCTTTCCCAAAAGCTTCTTTGTTGCATCACTTGAAATGTATTAGTAGGAGTTTAATTTGAAAGTTTCGAGCCTCATTTTTTTTTCTTTTTTTTTTTAAATATATTGGATATGTCAGTGGTGGAGGTCAGGACCCTACCTAAAAGTTAGCTTTTTTTTTTTTAAAAGTATCAAGCAGTGTGACCAGTGGAATGAAAACCTCGAAGTATGGCGCCAAGGTGCGGGTCCTTTTTTAAAGTCCCAACGCGCAACCCTTTAAGCGGAATGCTGCCGACCTTTTCCAACATTATTCACAACAAGACGTTGCCAGTCCATCCTAGTCCGGACTCATTATGTAATCTACCAAACACATACGTGGCACTCCTACCACAAAGTGACAAAAAATGAGGGGACCTCCCTCCCTCCCTCCAATACGGTGAACAAAATAACAAGAGGAAACAACAAACCATCCTATCCTTTTCCTCCCAAGTGTAGACATGAGAGTACAACTTTTTGCAGCTTTACATTTATGAAAATATTTTTATATGAAAGAAAGCCCCCACTTATTTTTCATTAATAAATATAAAAAGTGGGATCGTAAATAATGAGATGAGAGTTAAAAGTAATTACAACCATCCCATACTAAATTTGATAGCTTTGGCACATAATTTGAAAAAAAATTCTTTTGAAATTTGAGCTTGATCAATAAAATAAATAAAAATTACAAAAACTTCTAAAAAATATACTATTCACTCAATTTACCCCTTCTGAATTTTCTCTCTCATCTTTTTCCGTCGACAACTTATCTTCGCAAAACCCCCCCAACCCAAAAAAAAGTAAAAAATGGTCCAAAATACTCTTTTGTCTTCATACCCCTTCTCTCTGCACCCAAAGCTTTTCCCAAGCGCTTCGGCACTATAGAAATATGCTCGGGCAGACAAGCTTTTGGAGCCAGAGCGCTCCGGCAGTAAGCCACTTCGATCCGGCGGTTTAGTACGTCGCTCCGGTGATACATTCTGTGCCTCCAGCGATATCTACCATGCGCTCCGGCAATACTCTGTTGGAGCACATCGCTCCGGCGGTGTGGTAGTGTGCTCTAGCATTGTTTGATCTCGCTCCAACAGTGGATATTGCGATCCGACAGTCATTTCAAAGCGGTTCGACATTGTTGTTCTTCGCTCTAGCAATAGGCAACTTAGGACCGCCAATTGAATTTTTATTGTACGATAAGGGCATTTTATTCCAAAAAATTACAACTTTTTATTTTGGGGGGTTTTTGCTAGGAAAGCTTGTTGAGGGGAAAAAAGTGTGAGAAAAAATTTGGGTGGGGATGAGTCAAGTGAATAGCGTATTATGGGGGTTTTGTAATTCTCCCTAAAATAAATACACCCATCTAATTTTACATCCAATAGTTAAGATCAATTTTCATACCAAAAGTGAAATGGTTATACTTTTCCAAAAAGAAAAAATTACATGGTACTATTTCACAACCCTACCTAAGGATAATAACTCTAGTCTCATCCTCATAGCTACAAAACTAATCAATAAAAAGTGGAAAACATATGACATAGGAAATTGATAATAAAGTAAAAAGTTGGAACATATGACATAGGAAATTGATAATAATGAGGCATTCATTCAATCGTCAGGTGATTGGTCCTTGGGCAAGAGAAGCCGGATCGCCTCCTCCTCAGAAGCCAAGGATATGAGGTCCTCCACAAAGACCCTCAGGTTCTTATCAGAGGAGCCCCCCTCCTCTAACGCCTCTCTTGCGGCCTCTTTCAATTTCATGGCATTCTCTCTAATCTTCGCCGCCCTCGATCCCTCCCTTATCTCCTCTATGCATCTACAAACCTCCTCTCTTCGGACCACTCCCTCTGCGTCGCGCTCGAGCCGGACCCCAACGCTGTAGACATCGACCAAGAACTTTGCATTAGTGACTTGGTCGCCCCAGTGAGCAAATGCTAGGACGGGGGTGCCGGCTGCGATGGTCTCGAGAGTCGAGTTCCATCCGCAGTGTGTCACGAAGCAGGAAACCGAGGGGTGGGTCAGCACCTCCACCTGCGGGCACCATTTGACTATTTTGCCTCGTCCGGCTGTTGCATCCAAGAATCCAGTGGGAAGCAGGAACTCGGAGGTGCTGTCAACCGGCTTCGCCACCCAGAGGAAGGGCCGTCCGCTGCTCGCGAGCCCCCACGCTAACTCCTCAATTTGCGTTGGCGATAGGCTAACAATGCTCCCAAAGGAAACATAGATTACTGATTCTTTGGGCTGAGTGTTTAGCCAATCGAGGCAGTCATCCTCGGACTTCCACAGATCCCCCCGCATCTCGGAGGCTGTGGATCTTCGGAGCAGCCCCAAGGGCACGAGCGGGCCTATAGTCATGATCGGTGTGAGCTCCGACACTGACTGTATGGCTTCAGTCTCGAGTGCATGGAACGAGTTCGCTAGCACCCACTTCACCTTCTTGATTTTCTTGATGTGGCCCAATATCGCATCTGCCAAGCACTGGTAGGGCGCAAAGGGCACGAGGAAGCTCGGGAGCTCGTTCGTTTTGAGCACAGGAAGCCCCCGAAGGCTGACGTCTATGTTCAGTCTCTCCGGCGTCGGGAACTCGTCAAGCCTGCAGAGGCTTTGGTAATAGACGGCATAGACAGCACAAGACTGGACCCAGAGCATCGCGCATGGGATGCCAAAGCCCTCAGCCACATCCACGACCCACGGTACAAATGGGTTGCTCACAATACAGTGCACCGGCCGGCCCCGGACCTGGAGGTCATTGATCAGGGTTGCCAGCCCTTCTGGACCGGCACGGTTGAGCTGGGCCATGAACTTGTCAATGTCGTGCTGATTGCTGTCGACACTGAGGCCATCGGAGAAGGTCTCGAAGCTGATGTGCTCGTCGGAGCCAGCGGCACCTGAATCGCGCATCTGCTGGCCGATGGCCTCGTTGGTGGCTAAGCTCACGAGAAGGCTGGCGTTGGAGGCGGTGAGGCGGCGAGCAAATCGGATTGCTGGCTTAACATGGCCTTGTGCTGGGAAGGTGACGAGTAGGATATGGATATTCACCTCTATGGCACTCATCTTGGCTCGCCTGATGCTACTGAGCTTGGTTAGTGGATGCTATGGGTTTTTACTCCTAGTCAGAGATAAGAGGGGGCTCGCTCCCTTCCTGCAAGGTTTCTAGTGCGCAGGGATGGGTTAAAATGGTGTTGTAGCATGGAGGATGTGAGGCCGTATGTACTGGATACGGTGGCCTTTTTTTTTAGAAAAATATGTGCGTATAATGTTTCCATTTGATTATTATAACAAGCAACCATAGTTTTTTTTTATAAGTGTCGTGGGCAATTACAACAAATACATATGTTTCTCAATGTTTTTTATAACTATTTACTCATGTTGGAGTATATTATCTATTAACTCCTTCAACCAAAATTATGCTAGGGGTACCTGTTACATCACAAATTTTAGAGACATAAACTCTACAACTTAAAGAATATTCTCAAGAAAAAAAATTAAATAAAATATCTATATACTAGAAAAAAATAACGCTTTCGAGATTAAATAGGGACCCTCCAATATTTTTAATGGCTAGATCTAACGCGGTCCTTGAAAAGTAGTCTTAATCATATAATTATTAAGGATAAACTCAACAAAGTACCTTTAACTATTTTGGCATTCCAAAGAAGATTTGGAAGCACATGCCCCATAGTGTAATTTATATTATTTCCACCCCTCTTGCATATCCTAATAAGGTTTTGACCCCTATTTTGATATTTTCGGGAAAAAAAAAGAAAGAAGGAAATTACGTACGTACACCGTTTCCACACATATACTACCACATGGGTACAATTTTTTGTGTAAATTACCAGGAACACCCCTCTTCGACCACCCTTTTCATTTTCTCTCTATAACGTTTCTCCTGTTACAACCAGACAGGAGGGAAATACCATTGTTCCCAAATGTTCTTTGTAAAGTGCATGCAATGTGTTCCTGCGGAGCTTACTGTCCATCTACTTCCTCAGTCAAAACACCCAGCTATATTGATTTTTTTAGTCTAAAATTTTATCAACCATGTAGTAATTACTAGTTGATTATTTTTAAACATAAAATTGAATTTTGCATTTCGTGGCAATTAGAAATAGCCATTAAAAAATTGGATGTTCCCTATTCAATCTTGAGGCATTATTTTTTTTTAGAGATTTTATTTATGCTTTTTTTATCCTAAGATTATTTTATAGGTTGTAGAGTTTATATCTCTAAATTTTGAGATGTAAAAGGTATCCCTATCGTTATTTTGGTTGGAGGAATAAATAGATAGAGGTGTAAAATTATTAAAGCACCTTATTGATATAGAATATATAAAAATATATTTACAAATACAATTTCTAATCTTTTGACCCAATCTTTCAAAATTTGCACTTTTTTATTCTTATCCAAATTATTTATCATTTTATATACGGGTTATGTTAGGGTATTCACACTAGGACCCGGTTTCTATGCGGCCAAGGCCGCATATGTAGAAATGTAAGCCTATTAATATATCTAATTTTCAGATGGATTTTCTTATTTAATATTTAAGGACTTGTAATCTCTAACATGGAGATGATGGATATGAAAAAATAAGTACATTTTTAAAAACTAGAAATAATAATTCTAGTAAGAAAAAATTTAGACCGTTAGTTTCTATTGTTTTTAAATGGAACACCTACTTGCATCCATCTTTAAGGTTGATGCTTTACACTTTTTGGACCGTCTATATAGTCGTGCAGTCCAACCTGCATGAAACAATTTTCCCTCACGCTATCAAGTAATTTGACATTGAACTCAATAAATTTTGGAAACTTATATACTTTTGTTTTGTACCTAGAGTTTTTTTAGTAAGGGCATTTTTGGTCATTGGGAGGGGTGTGACATCATCTACATGAGGGTGATATCATCCATATATAGCATTAAATGCCACTAGTGTACTCCGTGTGAGTGATGTTATATCTCATGTGGATGATGTTGTACTCTTCTGACAAAAAATACTCTTATTAAAAAAATACTTCTTGTACATTACATTAAATATGTAATGTATATATTTGTATTGAAATTGCATATAAAAAATAGTCAAGTTGAAAAATAATATTATACTGGTAAAACAGAAAACTAATAAAAAATAATTGCGGTTAAAACTAAGGATTAAAAAATCGCCAAGTCGAGCCGGACTCGCCCGGTTCGACTCGGGAATCGCCAGAGAACGAGCCGGTTCCACGAATAAACCGGGAATCACCCGTGTCCAAAGAGAACCGGGCGATTCCCAACAGTGACTTGCGAGTCAGATCAAGTCAAACCGAGTCACCAGGAAGAACACAAGCTGCACAGTGTTCTTTACGGGATTTCATTTTTTTTTGTCTTTTTGTTATAGATTTTCAACTTTTTCAGCCCTATGAACGAATCTTACAGGCTTTAATTCAAATTTCGCATCAATTTCAGTCAATAAAACGAATTAAAAAGCACCGTTTTTTATCAACAAATTTAGATCGAAGAGGGAGTTTTAAGGTTTCTACCATTTCACTGATTTCAAGCGAAAGAACGCATCATTTTTTGCAAAATTTCAGGGTGAATGATCGTAAGAGTGTTGGTCAGAATTTTGTGTTCATAATTTGTGATTATCTTGAAGGAATACATATCAATTTTGAGTTTGAAGGCACGCGTGCATGAAGAACAGGTAAGAACTATCTTTTTTTTTTTTTTCGGCCATGCGATCAAATTCAGTTAATATTTTACAAATCATGTATTAAATTTATAGGATTTTGATTCGTTGTAGTGTTGTCTATCATCACATGTATTCAATTTGATTACATTTATTCAATTTGAGTTGGATTTTATAGAAAAAAAGAGTGATGTCTGTTAAAAAAAGCATATTGATGTCAGGTGCTATTCTATTCATGAGATAATAACTGATGATGATATCTTGTCACTTAATATTGACATTAAGAAAAATGTTACAGATGTGCTGATAAAGTCGGTTCTATTACAAAAGTTCAAGCTATGTTTGGACTTGATTAATGTATTGCTAAGGTGAGTGCCTGTGGGGGAACATATGGAGAAGAAGATCAATAGAAATTTCTTTTGGTAGAGATTATTATCTCCTTTTTATAAGATCTCCTACTTTTGGGTATTCCTATTATTCTAGGATTCCAATTTAGTTACTATTATTAGGAGCTTATCTTGGTGTCTTATTTAGAATAGGATGGGGCTTGAGTCCACATGGATAAGGGATAAAGATGTATTTTCATAAAGTTTTTAAAAAAAAGTAAGGAATCTCACTTAGCACCACTTTTGGGTTGTTTTCTCTTTATATTATTGTTATTTTTTAAAGAAAAAAATACCAAAAAAAAAAGAAAATGAAACTTTGGGTTTTAGAGAGAGAAAATTTGAAAGAGAGAGAGAGAGGTTATACGAGATTGGGTTTCTCCTTTGGTTCTCTTAGCTATGAACCTCTATTAATTTTTTTCTCATTGATTGATGGAAAAATATCGATCATCTTTACCCATGGACACAATCACATATGTGATGCAACATGTGATATGATGTTTTTTTTGTTTCCATTATTTTTTTTCTGCTTTGTTTTTTTTTATTTTTGTTGTTGGTTCTATTTTTTTCCAATTGTATTTGTCAAAATCAACCTGTTGGATTTAGAGCTTCCACGCACAACACTAACTTCAATAAGAAGGCTCAATCGGAGGACAAAGGCACCGGAGTAGGAAAATTGAGTGCTGCAAGGCAAGGAGTTGCTTGAAAAAGGAAGAACATATGAGTATCACATGGATGGCTGATCGCCGGAGTTGGCGGAGGTGGTTGCTCATTGGAAATCATAGATTACCGGAAGTCGCTAAAAGGCACATGGATTGCTGGATCTCACTATAAGTCACTGGATCTAGCTGGAGGTCGTCAGTTCTCTCTCTTTAGCTGGAGGTCGCCAGACCTGTGTGTGAGCGCGCCCGTGTAGCGTTTTCTAAGAACTCATCCTCTCATTTTCATGGTCACTATGCTCATTTGAGCACTAGGGCCATACTTTAGTTTACTGAACATATCTTACCCAATGTAATCAGGTTCGTTTCGAAAGCTTTTTTTTTTTGGTTTGGCTAGAAAATAGAAGCGGTTTGGTGCTTTGGCCGATTCGAGCTAAACTTAAATTTTTTTCTAAAATAAATTTGAAATGTATAAAAGGTACAAACAACAAAAAATTTTAAAAAATAGTGAATGAGCCTCAACTACATTTAGAAATTTTGATATATTATCAAAAAAATAATCTTAAAAAATTATTTTTTTGGAAGGTTATTATTAAAGAACTCTATTTCTTGTTAATATTAAAGGGAGATTTCATTTATTTTTTAATTTTGACTAAACATGGGATTTAGATATAATAATGAAAGAGAGTATAAGGTCATTTCTCCCTCGGAAAAACTCCATTCTGGGGGTAGCTTTAGGATCTCAAACTTTAGGGATGTAACCTCTTCCAACCTCAATGAAAGAAATTTTTAAATTACTCTTTTTATGGATTTGAAAAAAATAATGTCTCAAGATCGACATAAGCCGTCCAATTTTTTAAGGGAGATTTAGGTGTGACAAAACTCAAAGTGTAAATTTCCATTTTTTTTTGAAAATATCTAGTGATTATTAGGTGGTTCTCAAAATTTCAGAATAAAAAAATTCACCTCGGTAGGTCATCTGA